AATTCATCGCTTCTCTCAACAGCTAGAGGATAATAACAGGGCAAACTGGCCTCTCTAGCTTTGATTGACAACCAGTCTAGAAGAAGAACAACTCTGAACACAAAAGAAGTTTGGCATGGGGATAGCAATTCCACTCTGTAAAAACCTATTTGCTAAAGAAACCAGAGAAGCTACAGCTAGTATGAGAAAGCTATGGACTTATATTTCATGGGGGAGTCTACAGGGTTTACATACAGTCAAATATCCAATAAGATTAAAAATGCTTGCCACATTTAATAATTAACTCTTGATAATAATATGCCATTTTTTCCACACCATGGCAATGCAAAATATATGAATGGAATTTAAGGTTTCATGTTGGTGTATCAAAGGTGTGTGTGTGTGTTCACATCAAAACAATGTAGAAGCAACAAAAACTTGGGTTTCTACTAACGACTGTTTATTCTATTTTTTTTAAAATATAAACTGTAGAGAAACAATGTTCTCAATGTCTCTTGGGTATGTCCATTTTCTTTTTCTGGTCCAGAAGTAAGTTAGGGTAAGTAAGAATGGTTAAAATGGTTGAGTTCAAGTTAGCAGCTTTGTGCTGAGTTGGAACAACCAATGTATAGTTACTTCATGGGTGGAGCTGCAAAACACATCTGAATGCTATAGGTTGGAAAGTGGAAAGAGAGATTTTTTGTCATTGGAATGTGGGAAGAGAGTTTCTTTTTCAGGTCCTGAAGTAAGTTAGGGTAAGTCATGATAATCATGGTCATATTGTTTAACTCAAGCTAGTCTTATGCTGAGTTGAAATGACCAAAATGCAGGCTGTACTTACTTTATATATCAGTCAACTGCAAAAAGGAGACATCTTTGTCTGCATTCTGCTACATCTTGAAGTAAGAGGAGGAAAAGAGGAAGGAAATGTTTGTCTTTTTATAGAACTTAAACAGCACCACCTAATGGGTGCTTGGCAAAGACAAGTGGAGTAATAAAATTTCCAGTTCCTTTATTAATAACATCATGGGAAAATGTATTTTTTTTATTTTTATTTTTTTTATTTATTATTGATTTTATTTATTGATTTTATTTATTTTCCTCACATATGTGAAGGAAATTAACTGAATAAAAAAAAAGAGAGATATTATAGTAAAATGGATATTAATAGTTGTATATTGATATAATATATGCAAGCTGTTTACAGTTGTATTGTCTTGTGATAGTTGCCTGGGCTTTCTTGCCTTCAGGCAACAATCAGTCTAAGAGAAGGAAAACTCTAAATTCAAAACCAACCTGAAGAGAAATAGGCACGATCAGACTATCTTGCCTTAGATGCATTACTTGCTATAGCTGTAGTACACGTGATACACCAAAAGTTTAATAGAAGATCAATATTTCCAGAACCTTGTTGTCCAAAATGAGATAATCTTCAGAAGAAACACTTCTTAATTGAAACTGACCAAACCATCATTGACATGTCCAGATACTTAATTCTTCATTTCTTTACAGAGAATCAATATTACTTGTTGTTTCTCTTGTTAAAGAGTTCTTTTTGAAATCATACAGTATACAGATTCTGATATGGGTCTAATCTAAACTCATTTTAAAATTATAAAATCGATACAACATTTACATACACCAACATAAAGTAAACAGCAAAGAAAGAAAAACACATTAGAATGTAAAAAAGGAACTCATGACATGATGTGACTTCACAAATGTCAATATGGGGGAGCTGCCATCAGCATAAAAGTTGGCCAAGTCTTATTACACATCTACATTTACCTATATAAATAATAAGAGCAAGGGAGACTTAAGCCATCATGTTTATTCTATTTCTCTAGCAAGATTTGGTCAACATAAATTTTGCTAAATCAGAGAACATGTTACATCTGCTTTTCACCTTACTATTAATTGATGCCAGTCAAGGTTGAAAATAGTTGTAATATTCTTGGGCTCACATTTTCCATTGACATGAAGTGGAGTGGTTATATTGAATCAATTCAATTACTAGGTCTTCTATTAGGAAAGTCGGTTCACTGTGTTGTGCCAGACAATTTTTCTTATCAGGATCCATCTTGCACATTTATAGATCTATCATTTGTCTGTACATTGAATATTGCCACCATATCTGGTTGGGTGCTCCTACTATACATCTTGAGATTCTTGACAATATTCAAAGAAAGGTTTGTGATGTAATTGGTCATGACATGACATCTTGATTTCAGTCACTTTCTCACCAATATAACATGGCTTCCCTTTGTCTTCTCTACAAATATTTTCATGGTAATTGTTCTGATAAGCTTTCCACCTTAGTGCCGTGAGTGCTTGAATTTAAGCATACTATTAGATTAGCAACTAGATCTCACCACTTTACTGTTGAACTAGCTAGATGCAACTGTCTGTTCTCTTCTAATTTCTTTTCTCACACTTCTCGCCTGTAGAAATTCCTTTTGATTTCTTGCTTCCCTTCCATCTACAATCTTCAAAACTTTAAATGCAATATCAATCATCATCTTCTGTCTTTCTGAAACCTGTTACTTTATTGTCCTTTTCCTCACTTCTCCTCATAAAAGTTTTCTGCTTTTCTTTAATCCCTGTAAACCCCTGCATCCAAGTTGCATTATCACCTTGCTTGGGGTGAAATGATTAATGGAAGGTGAAACAATTCTACAGCAAGAAAAGAAAGCACAAATCCTGTTTTCAATTAGGTTCTTTATTCATGGATTCAGATGGCACTGAGTGTTGTGGTAGGTAAGTGCCATTTGGGACATATTCACTGTTATTTTGTCTTCTCTCACCATAGAGTAACAGACCAGATCTTCCCTTTGGTCAGAAAGAACTCTGACTGCTCACCTGTTCGTATCTGATTACAACTGGTGGCTTGACTATATAAGCCTACACCATGAATTATCTACCTTTTGACTATTTATATTTGATTTATTCATATAATTCATTTCTTTTTCCTTACTTTTGGACAGCTAGTGATTGCTTTGAAACTCTCACATCTTGATTTTACTGTTGGTTGTCATAAAACCACTGGTTTATGGCCACATCTCATTGAAATACCATTTCTGTATGATCACTGGTTAAGTAACATCAAGTCTGGTCAGTACCCAGATGGGTGACTGTAATGTTGGATGTGTGATGGATTGGAAAGTGGAAAGAGAGATTTTTTGTCATTGGAATGTGGGAAGAGAGTTTCTTTTTCAGGTCCTGAAGTAAGTTAGGGTAAGTCAGGATAATCATGGTCATATTGTTTAACTCAAGCTAGTCTTATGTTGAGTTGAAATGACCAAATTGGAATTGTTAATTAGAGAGTTCCAATACCTGTTGGGTTTGTTATATTGACTTACACTTGGGAAAGATCTGAATCTATATATTCTCCCTCCAGCTATGGGCTAATTAGTAAGACAAATCACTAAACCATTATTATCTAAAAAAAAAAATTTACAATCTAAAAATATTTTTTGGCTTTAAATAACCTGCAAAGGGTTGATAAGCCATAGAAAAGAAATCACTGAAATCATACTGGTACTCCACGCTCAGAGAAAATCATTTACAGTCCACTAACCATTAGACAATTGTGATGCATTTTCTCACAAACTGATCCTCTTTTATATATTTTACTTTGTTTACATCAGATACATTTTTTTCTTGGAAAAAAAAAAATGATATGCTGAAAATAACACAAATTGTAATGCTAATACTAAACCACATTACTCTGGAGTGCCAAATGGAGATGTTGGAAAAAAAAAGAAAATTTAATAAATGGTGTGGTTGGAAAAAAAATGAGAAAATCTAATAAGTGTTATGGATGGAAAAAACAAGAAAATAAATGAGGTGGTTGGAAAATTAATAAAACAAATATATGTTGTGCCTCCAAAAACCTAAAATATATTTTCCCAAGTGTGGACTGATGAAGCCAGGATTAAAGCATTAGTTAACTTAGGTATTTAGATGCTGTAATATAAACAATGCATGGACATAGTTTCAGTAAAATAACAAAACCAGCAAATCAGAATTAAGGATTCAATGTTTGGCCAGCCAAACAGAAGACTGGGGATCTAAAATTTTGGTCAAGTTGAGCCTATCTTTACCAATATAAACAGAGGAGAATTATCATTTAGACTGATAGCAGTACAGTGACAGGTGGAGAAAACAATGACATTGACGGACCACAAACAACACATCTGCATGACACACTGATGCCACAAATTCCACTCACTACTTCTGGATGAGGGAATTGACATGAGTACCAATGCTCTGTGAATAGATAATTGGATTTTTTTGTAAGTATGAGCTTTGGCTTACTGTTCCTATCACAAACTACTTGCTCTGACAGAGGCTCATCCTTTTTCTTTTCCAAGGTGCCAGTGATCTCCCTGATAAATAGTTGTTATTGTTTGATCTATAAATCCATATTTGCATCTATTCATGTTTCTGTAGTTAGAGGCATTGCTACACTAGAGACAACAAAACAAATTGTAGCTATCACTGTCTCTCTCTCTCTCTCTCTCTCTCTCTATATATATATATATATATATATATATATATATATATATATATATATGTCAAGTAAAAATGTTTAAAAATATATCAAAGGACGAATATTTTCTATGAAAATTTCTCGGACATTCAGGCAGGTAAATGTTATTTAATACTGTTTATTATAAACAGAGCATTTACTTAAATACTAGTATCTATAAAAAAAGAACGTTAAACATAAAAATGTCTTTAATAAATAAATTGTCAGATTTTGTCCATTTCTTAATATATATATATATATATATATATATATATATATATTTATGAAGTTTTGCCAGTGTTACAGTATAAACAAATGGCCATAAAAACAGCAGAAATTAATAAGTTGGAGAGTAGAGGGACCCTAAAAATCTCTGCTGGAGTTGGTAAAAAAAGCAAAACAAAAACTTAACAATGTTAGGAAACGTATAACTTGTACTCAAGAGTATTGAGGTAACACATTGGAAATTAAATATAAAAATTGAACTTACTGTTGTCATTCCAATTAGAATTCTCAGTGCAATGAGGAATATATAACTTGTAGTAGCAGCAACTGGTGATATTAATGATGCTAAGGAAGCAATTATCATGCCATAACCAAAAATTCGCTTGCCTCCAAATTTAGTTGCAAGCCAGCCACCAATGACTTGTGTCATAACATAGCCCCAAAAGAAGGACCCCAAAACAAGACCTTGCACCTTCTTGTCCCACAGGAATGTGCCCATCTGTAAAAGAAAAGAAAGAATAAAGCAATTAAAATGGTAATGATAATAGTAATATTAGCCATTTCCTTATAAGGAAACATTTGGCATTCATTGACCAATCAGCCAGTACTATTGTCAGTTAAAATTTATAAAATCTTTCTATTAAAACAATTTTTCAGGAACATAAGTTTCTTAAGTCATAGCTGTTGTTATTTTGAGTATTGATGGTGGCTTCCTTCCTAACCTTATGTTTAAAGTAGTATGGAATGTCAACATCTTGATTATGTCATTATTTTCTTTTTGAGTTACATGTGGTATCCATTTTAATTGTTGATAGTGTTGAGAATCCTCAAGTGATGTGGTTTCCATTATTTGATACAGTTCTTTGTGATTTTGTAGTGCCAGTCCACAAGATTTGAAGAATGATGGCTTTTGCAAAGATCAATTGACTTCATTCACACAAAGCCATTTTTAACCATTGATCTTAGAAAGCAGTTGAATCCAGCTGGTAGTTTAGATATTTCTTAACAGGTTTGGCATCAGGCATGATATCGATATGAAAGTCTCAATCTGAGAAGGCAACTTAAGAATATAACTTGAGTTTTCAGGTTAAAATTTTTAGTTTTGTAGCAATGTGCAGTGTTGGGTGAAACTACCACTACCATAGCCTATTCTATGTTCAATTTCCTTATCTGCTATACTAAATGTGTTATAAGGGATCCATACACTGAGGTATTTGAAGCATTTTGTATTTACTACTGGGACATATAGCTTGTTAGTTCTAAAGATAGCTCATCTAAAAATATTTATCTATTTGCTTGTTTATATTTTAAAAGAAAAATTATAAGTTCTCCACTGCCTTAACCAGGTATTGAACTCACAACTCTTTGGGTCCTGTCACTGGATCTGACCAATGCCTTTATCCATTGTGCCATGTGTCCTTAAGGATGCATTAACAGGAGATAACTGATAACTGACATCCATTAGACATGGCACATGGAACTAGAACATTCTACCCCAGTGAATGAAAAAGGGTTCAGTTCGACATTCCAACCACCTGAAGAAGGCTGAAATGTTGTAATAAATATGGCAACAAAGATGAGGACAATAGTCCGAATAATGTAAATAGTGTACATAATACCTCATCTCAGAAATATAGACAAGAAAAATGATGTGTCAATGAAATGTATGATATAGGAAAGATAAACACTATTCTTTCTATGACTAAATCTCTGAAGAAACATCTAGATAGGTGTTACGCAAGAATGCTCAGGATGGCACATAATGAAATCACACATTAAATACTGAACTATATGGTGAGCTACTAAAGGTAATATCAAAAATGCATCGAAGTACAATATTACATTATGTATCAGACATAATGATGACGTTACCAGCAAATTAGTATTCCAGATACCAAGAGAAAAACTAAAAGAGAAACAAGATTCAAAGTCTTAGACAGTGCTAGAATCTCAGATAGGAAGATGACGAAAGAGCTAAAGACCATTGAAATAATGGTGGCGATAACAGAAGACCAGTGATATGAATAGATTTTAATATTGTAATCTTGATGTATCTTCTTAGTTTTTATATCAGCATGTTTTTTGCTGGTGCCCTGACTACATAAATTTAAGCGTACTACTAGATTGGCATCTAGGTACCACTCATTTACTGTTTAAATAGTTAAATGCAACTGCCACTTTTACTCCAACAGTTTCTTTTCTCATACTTCCTGCCTGTGGAGCTCCCTTCTGTTTACTTGCTTGCCTGATAAATACAATCTTCAAAAATTTAAATGCAATGTCAATTGTCATTTTCTGTCTTCTTGAATCCCGTTCATCTTTTGTCCTTTCCTCAATCCTCCTTATAAGTCTTTTCTCTCACTTTCATTCTCTGTAATCCCCTGCATACTACTGGTATTCCTGTCTTGCTTGGGGTAAAATGATAAAGAAAATATTTCATCTCTTCCTGTGATTCCTTTTATTCTTTTTTTTTTTATATAGATGGAAAAGACCCGACTGTGTTTTTGTGTGCACACACACATAAAATACCTGAGAAAAAGAAATCAATACCTGAACCAAATTCCAACTACAATTTGATATAATCTTGATATGAAATCATTCTTCTCATTTCCTGTCTTAGTCCTAAGATTTTCTCTCAAGTCCTGTACACTCCATTTGTGGAGTATGGAATTACAACCTCAATATGCTAGATTTTGCTGTGGTTTCCATGGTAGGTAGGTTTTTCACAGGATGGAGTTGCTAGCCTTGTGTACATTTTGTGTTTGAAATACTCTGAAAGTTACCAGGATTGACAGGCACCTGAAGAAGCCTGGAGGGTACAAAGACTGAAACACTGTACTGATAACAACAAGGATGTGGCCATTAGTCTAAATGTAAATAATGTAAATATTTGTATCTAATTGATATTATTGATTGATATTATATAAAAAAGAAACTTCTGGTTACTTGAACAGAAATTGTTTTGCACTATGTTTTAGTCACAATGACTTGATTCAACAAATCAACCATCAGATCACTCAACTGTCAACCATTCGTACATTTATACCATTCTTTCAGCCGAACAGAAGAGACAGAAAGTGACATCACAGCAGTAGTGAGATTAGTATTCATTCAACTACCCAATGATATTAAAAAGTAGACAAAACAAAATCAGCATAAAAAGAAAATATGTATTTTGTGTTGTCTCTTGGTGAACCAAGAGTTACAGATCATTATTATTGTAGTGAGTTCAGTCCACATTGAGAGCTCCATTCTTGTGGACTAAAGTTGGCCTAAGCTTAGTAAATGAATGTAATATAGATGTGTTAGTTGAGAAATTTCAGGTAAAAACACCTAAAACTTAATGGGGTAAAGCATATGAATAAAACACTTAAAGTATATTTGGTAAAAACTGGAATTTTTACTTAAAATATACAGGTAATTATTTTGCAATAATGATTTGTCTTTAAAATTTTCTGAGCTTCACATCACAACATAGAATTTATTTTTCAGTATATTTTGGCTTATTGAAAAGAATAGACATTTTATTTATTGATCTTTTTCTAGTATGCAAATAACATGTAAATGCATTGTTATTGTATAAAATAACCAACATTCATAGTATCCTGGCTTTCAACTCACATGAATCATCAAGGGGCAAGGATTTTGTGCCTCCCTAATCTATACCACCAGAATCTCTAATATGACCCTGCCCCAACTCTATAATTTTCAAGGTAGTATTCATAAAAAATAAACATTTTTTGTAACATAATTATGTACAATAATGGATCATATGCAATATATGTAAACAATTCATTTAGAAAAATTGAAAATAAATACAAATTATAGACATGTCATTCCATCTTAAATAAACCAACAATGTTTTGCAGCAATTTCTAACATCAACTTGAGATTTTTCTTCTTAGAAAGTTTAATAATTTTAACACATTCAATATTATCATTAAAAAATAGTAAATTTGGTATAGTGTATTTTTGAGGCTTAGTATGAGCAAAACAAATTCATGGATTTGGACAAAAAAACAACCCCAGAATGATGTCAAAATCTGTGAAAATTTTTCTTCCTTTAATAGTCAGTTATGTTTAGTTTAATTTTTAACGTATATAAATGTAGGTTGAAAAAAAAAAGCTGATGTTGATAACATAGTGAGTGTCACAAAGCACTGTGTAGAGCCCCTAGTCAGGTTAAACCCTCAACCTCTGGGTGGTTTGGGGGTAGTATGCACTGGTCCTGGTCAGGGGTGTAAGTAAGAAAAGAGAATAAAAAATTAAGTCTACTTTAAGCAGAAAATTGTTTTCAAAGTGTTGTTATTTTGTGTTTGAAAGTTAAATTCACTGCACCAGAATACAGTAAGTTACATGCTAGCAACATATAACAACAATGTATAATAACATGCAATTTTTTTTCTTATATCCATACAAGAATACGGGTTTTAAATTTGTTATTTTTATTAATGGATAGTTGCTTTTGTTAAATATAAATGCCTTCAATAATGTTTACTCTTACTTTTCACTTGTATTTGTGGAATATTTTAGTATTGTGAAAGGAGCTGTCTAATATTATTAGTTCTTGTGTTTGTTAATGTGTTGTCTAATTTCACTTTGGTCAGATAAAATGGCATGGAAGCCTGTGTGATAGGGTAATTGTTGCATAACATATATAAGACATATTTTGTTTATTATTTACAAAGATGTAATCTTGGATTGGACAATTTTGTTTTCAAACTAACATGTATAATCTAGTCTTTACAAGAATAGAGATGAAAGCAGACACCAGTTTGTAATAAAAATGCTTTCTATCAATATTACTGTCAATGTAAACATCATTATCTTCATCTTCTCTCTCCTTATCATGATTCCTATAATTCTTTTGAATATAAACAAGGATAAGAAGGCAGCAAATGAAAAGCTTGTCTTATTGCTTGAATAATAACCTTTGAGGATGAAAGAACCATCCAGCAAGAAGATAAATATTTAAGATGGATGGGAAACAATGCTTAGTAACAATGTATGGAACTACTATATGAGAAACAAATTAGCAAATAATATGAATTGGTTGTATAACAAAAATAAAACTTCATATCACTTTACCTTGGAGTAGTGGTTATTAAGCTAGTATTGAAACAATTATGACTATAATGAGATCAATCCTCTTTCGATTTCGACAATTGTGATCAGATTGAATTAAGCTTAATAAATAGCACAGCTCTAGACTAACTTTTTTCACATTTTGTTCTGGAACTTTCCTGAACAAAAAAGACTTTAATAATTTCCCAAAATTTAAAAACAGTCCAAAAATCAACATGTTCTTTTATTATTTATAGTTGTTGGTAGTATATTAAAAACACCATTAAATATTTAAGAAATCTATATATAAAATTCTGTGACTTCTGTTAGTGCATCCATCAGTCACATCCTCTAAAATAGCCATGCATTGACTGAGTGAAACCTAATTTTGTGGAGATGTGCAAACAGGTAAGGGGATACAAAGTGCAGTTGATT